TTTAGATGAACATTCTTGTCTAATCATGAAAAATACATCTGTATTTATTTATCTCATCATTTTTATATCATCATTTTCTTCGACCAAAGTTTTAATATTTTCTGCTTTAAGAACATCAGCCCCCCACATTTTAACTTTCTGGCGAATATAGTGAAGAACGTAAGCAACACTTCCATTCTTTTCATGAATTGCCAATTTTGGAGGTGCTAAAATTTTACTGAGTTTAACATAATCGTGGGGTTCAATCAAAGGTATTTTTTCACCTAGAATCGGATGCCATTTCTCATGTATTGTTATCATTTTATTATCAATCATAATGTCAGATCGTGTAATGTGAAGTTATAAAATATATATATATATATATATATAACTAGGATCTGGATCATTAATCCGGATTAAATCCAGATAGGTTCCAAATATGTATTTTTATACAAAGATCAAAATCATAATTATTGAACTCGTGGACAATGTAATTATGCATTTTGCATAATGCATAATGCATAATACATATGATTGATTGTCATATATAGACATCAGTAAATAATCTCTCTTACCACTCATCCCAAAAAGGCTATGTATATGGTGTTTGATTGAAATTTTAAATTCACATGCAGATTTTAAATTCACGCAATTCAAAAGAAGTAACTATATATGCAGGATCAAAAGAACATCTAATTGTGTTTAGAGTTGATAACCGGATACTTTTTCATCATTGCAAACTGATAAAATACTATTTAATCATTCCTTCTTCTTTACACAAATACGTCAAGAAGAAGATATTTGCCACTATAATGTACAAAATCCAAGCAATGAACTTTTTATAGAATGTGAATTTTATTGTGAACGCATCTTCAAGTAATCTTGATCTAATTCAATATTGGTAGGTATTTTAAAGCTTGCGTCATACTACAATCGCTTCCTATTTCAAGTTGTAGTGTAGAGTGAAGTACAATTAATTCTCTTTTAGATTATAAAGTTTATCAAAAAAATTATAATAATAGTTCTTGCGCATATTTTTTTATAGCATACATGGATTATTATAATTGAGGCAACATCCAGACTATTAGCATGTAATATTTTTCTCCTTTACTCATTTTGGCATATAACATCTCAAAAAATTAAAAGCTCTACCATATAAGACTTCATATGTAACCATTGAAAAAATTATTTAATATTAAAGCTCTGAACAGTTCGGTTCGGTTTTCAGTTTACATTTGACCCGAACATTTTAACTTGTAGCAAAGGCGTGTTGCAAACTAGAGATGCTGTAAGGATTATGTTTCTAGATACGTACATAGCCTATAATTTTAGCGAAGGTCCAAAATTAGAATGGAGACCATGATCGAATTTCATACATAATGCCATGTTTAGATGCAGCCGGTCAGTTATGAATTATCTTTATATATTCATAGATGTATACCACAAAAATTTGAGTCTCTATTTATAATACGTGTATACAAATCCTTATTCGAATTATTCTTAATGTTAATATAAATTGAATTATTCAGTTATTCGTTTTATTCGAATTGTTTGTTTAATTCGTTTTATTTGTTTATTTGACTAAACTTTCAATGTAATTCGAATGCTCAAATTCATAGTAATAGTAATAGTGAATAAAACAAATAATTCGAATAAACCTTGTTCGAATGGAAATACTATTACTAAGCTACAACGCCTCCAGAAAACTCGTTCAACTGGGACACTAGTTGCCAATAAGTTTGCTAAATTTGAAATTAAAATTCTAAATAAGCAGAGTGCAAAAATTAGAATACTAAGAGCTTGCAAAATGGTAATTGTTTCTAATCTAAAGCTTTAAAATTTCTCGGTTTGGCTTTTTAGAAACCGAAACCGAACCGTTTGGATCTTATCCAATATATCTTTATTTAAAAGCAGATTAAAATAAAACATCACTTGGAAGTAATTGTGAAATAATAAATTTTCGTCAATTAGTAATAAGCAGGTCTTTAGAAAATTTTACTTGGCATTAAATGGAAAGCTTTCTATATCAATTACCTATTTTTCTATTTTAAAATTTTTTGATTTACTATTACCCATACCCATAATTTCATAGTTCATGTTTATAAAAACATGCAGAGAAGCCCAAATTGCCCAAACTACATATGTAAACTCGATAAGTCGGTCATGTCGGGGCGGACCCCTGTGACCGACTTATTGAGAGAACCGAGTTATCAAATTTCACGTGGTTTTTTAAATTATTTGTCTTTTCACACTAGATAATCAATGATATAAGTGATGATATAAAAATGATGATATAAAAATGATGAGATAAATAAATACAGATGTATTTTTCATGATTAGACAAGAATGTTCATCTAAATTCTTGATGATATAACTGATGAGATAATAATATATTAGTGCATTATTCATGATAAATCATCAAATGATTAAAGCGTAAAAAGTGACAAGAAAAAATGGATGTATGATTATGCATTATAACTGATGGAGATAATAAGATATGCTCTCTTCCTTCTAAATGATAGTTTTTTTACATCAGATATTTTATTACAAATAATCATTTTGCTAATGATGAAATATTATGAATAAAAAATTATTAAATCACATAATGAAATATCACGTGAGACCGACTTATCGTGATTCATTTAATTATTATTATACTTGGGGCTAAAGTGATTGACCGACTTGGTGCTTATCGCGACTTTATATAGATCGACCGATTTATCGAGTTATACTAATTTTTTTCGTGGGAAATTTAATAATTCTTTTATAAGTTATAATTGCATTATTAATGTTAAATATTTCTTTATTAATTAATTATTCTTTGTATTAAATGGCTTACATTGGGCATCTTCACATGTGCTGATTTTTGGATAGGATTTAGGTTAAAATTTTTATTTTTTAATATTACTTCACGTGTCATTTGGATTAAATTTGTTCAGTTTCTGTAAACCACCTATGGTAGGTAGTTTAAATTTATTAATAAATTTAAGATTAAAATTATAATCCTATCCCGAAAGTTAGTGCATGTGAAAACTAAGTGTTCCATGTCGCAATCCAAAAAAAGGAAACAAAATGGTCGTAAAGGCGGTTGCAATCGTTTTTATATGACGCAAAGGTGGTAGCAACCATCATCAAAAGTTGCAGCCAGTATCCTTAGTGAAGACGCCCACTGATTTCTATTTTTTTTTTAAAAATACTCAAGCTCATAAGTTATGTAAAAATTCAATGATAATAATAATGAAAAAAAAAAGGGTTTAAAAAAAATGCCAAGTCAGTTAACTGGTATTATTATTGTTAATAACCACAAAGAAAAATTTACTGACAAATATAAAATTATATCAGGTGAACCAAAAGGAAAAGGTGAAGAGTTTTTCGATTTGGAGTATATAATCATTCGGCCAATTTCTGAAGAATTCACTAAATATGTTCCAGAAATTATCAACGGGAATGAAGTTTTCTTAATGACGTGTTCCAAATTTTATATTGAGAATGGGATCATATGTAATTTTGTAATAAATTTTGATTCATTAATAATAATATTTAAATACTAAATGCTAAGTATTTAATTATTTTTTTTAACATGTATAATAATTTTAGATTAAAGCATGTTTGTTTGATATCAGTTACTACCATTGACTATTTTATTTCATCCCAAGGCATCCAGACTTGTTACTAACATTGCTTTCAAGACAATAAAATAAACATATTCTTGGCAATTTTTTTTTTATTTGTAAATAATTCAGCAAAACATCAGGGTGAAATCTCTTGTTATAATTACAATTTAATAAAATACACCTATGGTTTGTGACAGCATAAATATTAGAGGTTGGAAACGTTCAAAAAATCCTTAGTCGACTACTAGTTGGTCAAAAATTTCTTTAGTCGACTAAATTTCATTTCCATTTGAATTCGTTTTTTTAAAGGTCTTCTGAAACCACCGCTTAAATCATTAGAACTTGAAGCCAATGAACTATTGGACCTTGCATTGGAAGTGTTTATTCATTCGCATGTAAAATTATCATCAACAACACCACTACTATTGTCGTCATAATCATATTGATGGTATTGATACTCCTCCGCATAGAAATTTTCCAAAATCGTAATTGGTCAGACAATAATAATAATAGTATTAGTATTAGTAGTCGACTAAATAATCGATTAAAATAGTCGACTATTTTAGTCGATTCCAGCCTCTAATAAATATCCTATCGATTAATGAATGTATCATTACTCACTATTTATAAACTATACATAATCCTTATCTAATGAATGTATATTAGATATTAAATATTAAATAAATGCACATGACGATTAACGTTTATAAATAGAGTAGAATGAATTTAAAATTATTCGAAATTAAAATCATTATGTTTAGAATGATAAGCTCTTTTGCTTAAAACTAATAATAAATTAGAAGAGGTTGACATAAAACGAGGGACAAACAATATTAACACTAACAGAATATTAATTAGAATTCTAAAGAGAAGGAATTAAAATATATATATATAAGCAATAAGAAATCGAGAATGATGTCATATACTCGTCAGATAGCCACAAATACATTAATTGCCGATTGAACCTGATAGTCAAAAAAAAACTGATGAAAGTTCGAAAGCATTATCATTCACGTGACTAAATTTTAATTTTTTTATTGATATTGAATTTCTAAAGATGAAAATCAAGCAAATTATTTAAGAGAATAAGAGAAAAATCTTTTTTTAAAAAGATAATTATAGATGATTTATTATATCGATAATATACACATTTATGGAAAATCAATAATATCATATTTATTTATTAACGTAAGAAAATGATTGATCGAGTAGTTATGAATATTTGACATTGATGTTAAGCAAATTCAAAATATCACTAAAATAATGTAATGAATGGGAACATAATTTATAAAAACACAATCTCTTAACATTTGATCAAATTTTTTGCAATTGATCTTTTCTTCTTTACACTTTTTGATGATTCCAGCTGCTAAATTATTTGATAACTTAATATTCGCATCTCCATCCATCAATTTTAATACAATGATGTGTGATTCAAAAATATTAAATTGTTGTTTCCAAAACTGTGTTAATGTTTCTAAATGTGTTGAAATTACTGGTAAATTTATTGAAATTTTTTCCTCGTATTTCTTTACTTTTTTTTGTTCTTCGCTATTCATCATAATGACTCCATTCTTTCTATTGAATATATCTAATAAACATGGAACCGAAGCCGCTAAGGCTAGAATGGATTGTAAATTAAAGTAAAAATAATTATTTGATGCATTATTTAAAATTTGATACCATGGCATGTAAGGTGAGAAAAAATATGTTAAGAAAGGAATTATGAATTTAAATAATTGATATCGTTTTACGAGCTTTGGTTGTTGACTAACACTAAAGTCTTTAGCGATATAAGTTGATATGGATTCTCTAATACTTCCAAATTCAGTTTTTAATTCCTCAGATTTATCAATTCTTTTTTCTGCAATATCTTTTAACAATAATAATGTTTCCAACAAGTCATTGACAGTGACATCACCTTCCTTAATCATTTTAAAATATTTTATGAAATGCTCCAAATCTATTGACATTTTTAAAGATTCTTTGGCTCTTATACCAACAAAGTCATTGAGCTCACGATTTAAGTCATCTAATTGCTTAGTATCATCATCAATGCCAGAATATTCAATGTGGAATTGTTTTAAATGTCGAAAAGATCCAAGTATATTTTCAAAGGTTTTTTGCAAGATATCAAGATTAGGAAATATTAAATTTTCATATTGGTTTAATTCAATCAAAGCCATTTTGATCATTAACTGTTGAAAACATACGTTCACTTCCTTATATAGAGAAATTCAGTATGTCCAGTTACGTTATCTTTATTTTTATAAATGCGACTATTTATCTTAATCAGGAGAGTAGTGTAATCGAATGATGTTGCTTATATATGGCTTTTTTGTAACCAATTACTCCATTCAAGGATAAATAAAATTATTTGGTGTTGATACTAGTCTAGTTTCAATAATATATCTTGTGAAAATGGCACAAAAACTATAATAGTGTACTAGTATGAAATTGAATCTCTAATCAAAAAAATGTGAGTTGCTCTACGAAAAATTTTGATCGAGCCAAATTGTCATTTTAGAAGGGCCTTATTTTATTAAAAGAAAAAGAAATTCCCCTTAATTGTTTACGTAAAACTTTAATTGAGCCAAATTCTCTTTTAAAAGAAAAAGAAATTCACCTTAATTATTTTACGTAAAACTTTAATTGAGCCAAATTCTCTTATAAAAGAAAAAGAAATTCACCTTAATTATTTTACGTAAAACTTTAATTGAGCCAAATTCTCTTATAAAGAAAAAGAAATTCACCTTAATTGTTTTACGTAAACTTTAATTGAGCCAAATTCTCTTATAAAAGAAAAAGAAATTCCCCTTAATTATTTTACGTAAAACTTTAATTGAGCCAAATTCTCTTACAAAAGAAATTCTTATTATCGGGGAAGTTTAAATTTTAATAATCTTTTTACGATGACTATTTTGTTTACATTAGCCAATTCACCTATTTGGGCGAATGTAAAAGCTAGACGGATGACTAAGAAATACTGCAGCTATGAACTTCATGAAAGCTCTTATAATAATAAGATTTTTCCAAAAGAAAAAAAAATTTTTATCGATTGCTTTCCGAAAAATTTTGGTTAAAAATTCCCTTTAATTAAAAAATAAATGAAAATGACAGACCCTCCAAATGCCCCTCCTATAAAACGTTTATCCAGCACAATTCAAGAGTTAATTCGAAATTTGAGAAATGTTAGTAGAATAACTTTGGGTTTTAGAAATGAATTTTTTGAAAGTAAAATTTTGTTGATTAAAGAGAAGAGAGCGGAATTCCGTTTGGTTGCTATTGACATAATTTATCAATGTGACAGTTTGGTTAAATTTGGTAAAAAGTTAATGATCTTTTTTGAATCCTGCAGTGATATGTCTATTCCTGACGGAGATTTATTAGAGTTTTTGCGTTTACTTTTAACAACGGCTAAAAGAAATAAAACTGCAACAAAAGCTATTCAATCCACAATTAAATCTCTCGCGGATGATTTGAAAACACTTCATAATGAATTGATTAAGTTTGATTTAAATAATATGAATAATATTGATCCTAAAACAAACAAGAAAAAAAAAAACGCTGAATCAGATAAAAAAGTATTTTCTGCAATATCAGTAACTGCTGGTGTTATTGGTGGAGTTTTATTAGCTCTCACTGGACCAATGGCGGTAGCAGCAGTAGTAGTAGCAGAAGAAGTGGTATTAGCAACAGCAGCACTAACAGCACTAGATGGGGTACTTTTCTTAGGTCTTTCGGATACCGCAGATTCAAATGCTACAATAAAAGGAAAAGAAGCTAAAGTGTTAGATGCCGTTTTAAGTGAAAAGAAAGATCAAATGAAGGTTAAATCAGAAGGTTTACAAGATGTTTCTTCTCAGATAAGTTCAAATTTACATGAGATGGAAAATTTCTGGGTAGAACGTATTGCTTTTTTAGAAACACTTATTGAACAGTTTGAAAGCAACAGTAATCGTGGAACTCGTCCCAACAAATTAATCATTGGAGCATTAGAAGAAGAATGGAAGGAAATAATTGGAGAATGTAAAGGTTGTTCTCGTGATATAAGAAATGAAATAGAGAATGATTTGAATAATCGTAAGAACTGATTAATTGTTATGAAAATAAGCTCATATATTTAGGTCTTATATAATGGGCAAATGGAATAATTTTTATTGTTGTAGTTAACTATATTATATTATTATACGTATTTTTATATATACAGTATATATATTGGATATGTTATCTTTTAAAGCATTCGTTGATATTTTATAAAATAAAATAGGTTACGACCAAAGTTTATTGAACTGCTGTTAAACCGAGTTCTTTTTCTTTCATATTTTTCCAAGTAGCGATGATTTATAATATGTTTTCGCTTCATCATCAATGATTCAAATTCCTGGTCAATTCCTTTACATCTGTACCCTCCCACCTCATCTCATCAATCATTCAAATCCCTGATAGTAACAAAAACAATAGCAAATTATCAAACTTATAATTGTGCCATCAAAAAATTAAACCAAACAATAGATAAAATCGGTGCTCTTTATCAGCAAAAAATTCCGTACTTTTAATGATAATTGTAATTCCGGAGTGGATGAATAGAGCTTAAGTATAAAGCGTTTCGAAAATTCGATGGTCCCAACCTTGTGATTCGAATAAATCGACAAAAATCACGCACAAACATATAATAAAAAAATTAGAACCTATAAATTAAACAGAGACAGCCATAGTAAAATTTCCCCGATAAAACGAATTCTCAATTGATAGTCCGATTGCCTGTGCAAAATTTTGTTTTATTAGATTAATAATTTTAAAAAAATTAAACTTTGACCAACATTTTTTTGGCAAAATATTTCTCGCTTAAAAAAAAATCAATTATTCAATAACCTTCAATATACTACAGTGTTGGTTATAATAAAAGGGTAACCGTCAATATCGAAGTTCCTTAAAAATAATTACATCTGTAAAAAAATAATTGGTAAAATAATTAATTCTTTCGTTTTACTTAAACCAGTTTTATTAAACAGTCATATAAAAATGATTACTATTCAGGATTTACGTGGTTCTAAATGTCGTGATGAGGAATGGTCTGAATATTGATGGATGTCACAAATTCGCGCTAATGAAACTCCTAGAGAGTGGAAAGAACGAATCTGGGATCGCTTGCAGTATTTTATAGAAAAAGATTTATGTGACACCGTATCTTAAAAAACAAGAATCTATTATTTCCTCTCCAGTTAAATCGCATCCTCAAATTTTGATGGGAGGAATATGGGCAATTCCTAATGTGGCAGATGTAGTAGCATCCTCGCTCTGTAAGAGTACTATGATGTCACCGTTAATGGCATATTCTTTACTTATTTTACTGGTTATTGCTGTTATATGGTTTGTGAGACGTATGTGGGCACTCAGAAAAAAAAGCAAGAACTTGAATTATGTGCAGGAAAATTCAAATTGAAAAATAATCGCGGAAAAATAATACCAAAGGTACCTGGACCATGGGAATTTTTGTGACGCGCAATTCTGAACAAAGTAAAAATTCAAAAAAGAGGTACGTCAAAGTGCGATTTGATTTTTTCGATCCGATAATATGCAAAAGTTATGATCGATTTTTTGACATGGCAATATGAAAAAGTAATACGTAAAAGTGCGATCTGATTTTTCGATTGTAATACGTAAAGGTAGTACTCCAAAGTAAGATCAAATTTTTTGGTTCGGTAATACATAAGAGTAATCAAAATTTTCGATCCAGTCCAGTAATACATAAAGGTAGTATATACGTCAAATGCATAGATCAATTTTTTGACATGGAGAGGTAGTACCCAAAAGCAACAACTATGTGAGGAAGTGTTCCAGGACTGCACATTTTCGGTAATACGCAAAGGTAGAATAATATAAGCAAATAGTAAGAAAAAATTGTGCTTTTACGTATTACCAAGTGGAGATGACATTCGACAATCAATTATGCGAGAAAGCTTTCTAGTGATCCAAAACATAGCATACTACACCCAAGTATAATTAATACAGAAAACTATATATATATATAAATTATGCTTTGGGGTACTACCAAGTAGGTATATTATTCGGCACTACGTATCTCATCTCGATCAGTATTCGAATGCATTGCATAAAACCAGATCATGAATACTATTTCGGCACATCGTGCCTCAAATGGAATGTAAAAAGTGAATTGGTGTATTTTTTTTTTTTTTTTGATACGAAGTGGGAGATAGAGGGTCTATTTGTATGTTTTTGTAGCAATTTATTAGACTACACGATCAATGCATCATCCAAAATCAGATCACGATTACTACTTTGGCACTACGTGCCTCAACTCCGGTATTCGTGCAACATACAGAGTCAAAATACAGATTGCCAATTCGACATTTCATCTCCTAGAAAATGTATAGTTTATAATGGCATAGGAGATAGTGATGGGCAGTTAATAACTTAAAAATTAAAAGGGTTATTAACCTAGTTATTAACCTTGAGCAAATTAACCATTTTATAATAAATTGTCATGCATATGGTAAATTTTTATTATTTTGGTCATATTCAAATTGTATTAATATTCGTTGGCAAAAATTTCCAGTAAATTTATTTTTAGTTGTATGGACATTTCATCTATATTATCAAATTAAAGGAGTTAATGGCAATTATACAGCAAATATTATACAAGAAGCAACAACAACTTTTCAACATTTATCTCCATAAAGTAATAGCAATCAATCTCTTGATGAATTTTTAAAATATCAGAATCATGAACAAACCTTTTAATCAAGATATTCTTTGGACAGAAATAATGATTAAAAATCCCTTTCGTTTTTGGAAATCAGTAAAAAAAGCATCACCAAATCTTTCAATGCCTGCAATTTGTCTTCTTTCTTTGCCTGTAGCTTCAGCTGGTGCAGAACGTTTCTGGTCTGTTATGGCATCAATTCATACACTAAAATGTAATTGCCTTATAAATGCTCGTGCTTCAAAAATTGCAAAATCAAATGGCATTTAATTACTACAAAATTATCAAATAATTTATAACTCAAACTCCAATTCCAATTGATAATATAAATCTAGAATTTGAAGTAACTGAAGTTAAGTAAATGAAGTCTCCCAAGATGAAGTGGAAGAAAATAGTATTGATGATATCAATGAATTAGATCAAGATATTACAGAAGAAATATTAAATGATTTACTTGACAAGGCAATGAGGAAATTCAAAATAATGGAAATTAATGAAATTAGCATTAATATTGTATAAAATTTAATTGTAATGTTTACTAAAGACTAACAAACAAGTAATATATATTTTTAATTATAATGTTATAGGTTTTTAAGTTAATAACCTAAAGCTAATTGGAAAAGGTTTTTACGTCCCATCACTAATAGGAGATATGTTTTTTTTACAATTTATTGACATAATTAACAACCGCTTAGAAGAGATTTTTAAAAAAACACCAAATGGTAAATTTTCTGATTATGAACGTAAAAAAGAAGTTGAAGAAATATGGAATTTATTGCGAAATAATATGTTATCAAAACACAATATTGAACCAGTAGTGGAGCAAATAGATAAGGAAGTCAAAGAAATATTTTCTCGTTTACCATCAGTAGGATTATATCAAAAATACATAAATGGAAAATCTCCAGATTTATCTAAGTGCAATGCATATAAACACTTTAAATTGTTTTCACCCTTTTCACACTCTTCACAATGCTTGGAACTGAGAGACATCCGTACTCTCCAGGAAAAGCTTGATAATTTGGTAGATTCAATATTAGAAGAAAGGGCTTCTTATCATTATTACCCTAGAATTGTACATGACCTCACAAAAGAAATAGACAATGCACTTAATTATAATTCAAAATATTTTCATATAACATTTTTGCCAGATTTCAAATGGAATACTTACTTATATGCTTTGTTAAAGTTTAAAAACAATGGGACATGGATAATACTCCACTTGGCATTCTTGATCAAAAGAAAGAGGAATATTTAAAGATGATTGATACTAGGCTTCAATATGGACATACACTTGTTTCTGAGGGCCATATTATTGGAGACTATTTATTGAGGGTTATTCATAAAAAAGCAATGGATGCAGGAAACTCTGAGCGAAAAAAAGCTGTGTGTGATATTGGTTGGTTGACATGTGCTTAATCAGTTAGACTCAAATATTTTGAAAAACTTGCTGAACAAGTTCAAAATGGTGATAAAGAAGAAGCTATACAGTTTTTTTCACAGCCAAAGAAATGCATAGAAGATTGGTTTAAACGTACAGTTGATGGTATTGCAAGTGGAAATCCTGAGCAAAAATACAATGATACCTTTAGAGTAGAATTCATTTGAGTCTTTCAAGAAATTCGCAATTGTCAAAGTTTTGAGGAAATCAAAAAATTTGTAAATGATTACATGACACAAGTTGATAAAGTGGATTACAAATTGGATCTTGAAGACATAAATGATGAAGATTTAAATATATTCTATAATGCTATTGAGGAAGAGCTTGATACTAAAAGGGATGGTTGTTATACAAGAAATGAGCCTTTTCAAGCCCCATCTAATGATAAATCAATCATGGAGATACTTGGATGCACAGAAGCATGTTATTTTTGTGGAGCTTTGTGCTGGGGATCTCTGGGTCATCATAATGATAGTGGTGAAACAAAAAGACATCATACTAGCCATCAACCTCAAGGTCTTGGAATAACCAAATATATAAGTACAGGTGAACTTGTTGCTGAGCCATGTCATAAAACATCAGATGATACAGGTGTGCGGTATTTTGGCAAGGAGGACCTAACACCTTGGAGTGTTGCAAAAATTCAAGATTTCTCACATTGGATATTTGAACCTCACTACAAATACTTGTTTAATGATCTTATGTGCTGGTTCTTTGAAAAATTGCATAAAGATCTTGCAAAAAAAGATGGTCTCAAACCATCAACTAATGAAGAATTGAAAAAGAATGGTTGTCTAAACTTGAGTTACAATGATATTATTAGCACACTTAGAACAAAGATTTACTGACAATATATTTATTATATATAGTCTCCAGCAAAAGTAATGGCGGTGATAATTTTTTTAAAAACTAAAAATTTTTAATAAGCAACTATCAATAAAATTTTATTTTTAAA